CATCGGAGGGTGAGCCGGATTTCTCTGGGGATGAAGATCCGTCAGCGTTGCTGCCCTCTGAGTGGTCAGCGGTGCCGGATACGGACCCGGAAATGATGGCTATGCATTCCCGGGCCGCCGAGAGTGTCGGGCTCGAGTGGAATCTTCCTAAGCGAGATCCCAATTCGTCGGTCATCCGACGTGACGTCTCCGTTCCCTCCTTCAGGGAACGAGGGTTACCATACGTAACCGAGACGTTCTCGAGCCACCAGTGCTGCTGTCAAGTCAAATCAATAGATGAAAGTCTGTGGGGTTGTGAAATGGTATTCTCATCCTAGCGGCCCCGAATCTGCAGAGAGCTGTGGTATTCTCACCATACTGTACTGCTTTTTAACCCTGGCCAAGTTACCAGCTCAACGAATGCCAGGGAAGACCTCCTGAAGGTGAAATATTAGCAAAAGCAGCCGAAAGTTGTAGCCTGATATGATTGGTCACTATATAGAGGGATTGTAATTCCTGGTTTTAAATGGAACTGTGTAGAAATTTAAGCTAATAAACGAGGGGCCCAAATTTAGGAATGATATCAAGCTTGTAGACTAGAGCTTTCTAACTAGGATTATTAAACTTGTACAGGGAAACAAAAATGTATTTACTATTTAAGTTCCTAGGCTGCTACAATGAGCACTTTTAAGGAAAAGCCTGTTGGATTGTACAACTCACAACAATCATATTTTTGAAATGCATAGTTTTGTTAGATTTTTGTATGTTTTCAGAACCAACTGTGGTTGGCAATTTTAAACAGTTTTTTTTCCTGTCTTTGTGGCTGGTTTGTGGCCAGAAGAAGACTGTAGACAAGACTTTATTCAGTAACTATGTTCGACCACTTTCTTATAACAATGTTGAGAGTTTAAGTCAGTATGTTCTTGCATGCATCATTTGGTTTCAGAATCTGAAGGGTTCCTTATGTTCCTCATACCTCAAAGAAGCAGGGCAAATTATGGCATTTTTCCAACAGTATTGTACAGATGATCATTGGTGTTTTTCCTGGTGGTTTTTCCTGTGGCAGATGGTGATGGAGAGCGGAGATTGGTTGGTCGGTGGTGATCTCCAGGTGCTGGATCGGATCTACTGGAATGACGGGCTGGATAGTTACAGGCTCACACCAACCGAACTTAAGCAGAAGTTTAAAGAGATGAATGCAGGTATGGAGCTACACTCAGGAGTTGCTCCTTTTGACCTAATTTTGACTAGTATGTTGTGAGGTAGAAGTCGTCTTGCCCTCGAACTGTAGCAGGTCACATAGACATACATTTTCTTTAATGGAATTTAATTGTATTGTCATAGACTTGCATTCATCCATATATTGCTGCAATACAATTATATATATATATGGCAAGTTATGAAATATTAAACACTCTTCTCTCATTTTTAGATGTCGTCTTTGCCTTCCAACTGCGGAACCCAGTGCATAATGGCCATGCACTGCTCATGCAGGACACGCAGCGGCGTCTAATTGAACGTGGCTATCGTCGACCCGTGCTTCTGCTTCACCCACTGGGCGGCTGGACCAAAGATGATGACGTGCCACTGGCCTGGCGCATGAAACAGCATGCGGCTGTCCTGGAGGAGGGACTGCTTGACCCCAACTCCACCATAGTGGCCATTTTCCCTTCACCAATGATGTACGCCGGCCCAACAGAGGTTAGTGTAAAATGAAAAAGGACAGAGAACGGATACCTGAGGCACCCCATTAAAATAATAACTTAAGGTCAGCTGGTCATTATATTTTTTCCATATTCTTGCTTTAAGTGGAGATTTTTGAACATCTAGTCATCTAATAAAGATATGATGTTCACCATATATAAAAAAATGAAAACTGAAATCCCCCCAAGACCATTTTTAATGCAGCTGGTAGCTCCTCATTTTGAAACACCAGATTCAAATTAGCGTTGTAGCTTTTGAGATCTTTCTCAATATGTAATTCTTAAAGTATCCCATACTTGCATACTTCAGGAATTACAAATTGTTTGATATATGCAATATTTTAAAGAAAGAAGCTCTATCAAATGCACTTTGTACTATGAATGATAATTAAAACGGCATTTGAAGCCACTGAAGAGTTGTATGGAAAGTTAGTGGTGAGGAAGCTTGCACAGGACACATTCCTCCATGAAACGTCGGTGGTGCACTGGATTTCTGATTTGTTCCACCTAATTTGTGCTTGAGGCTGAAGACAACAGGGACAGGCTCTTCTTGTGGGCATCACACATCGCTGGACTTTCCAGTAGGAATTGATTTGTGTCTCCAAGAGTGATGTAAACAGAACCAAATTGTTTAGAAGCCAGTGGCGTCTACAATCCATACACACACACACACACACACACACACACACACACACACACACACACACACACACACACACACACAAAGACA